TTTTAGTGGTCACTAATACTTCCAAAGAAATGAACTGCAGTCACACACAGTCTCAAGAGAAACTCAACTCCCATTCTGCCTGGTATGGTGTTCATTAACCTCAATCAGTCTGAACACTTCCTGTGCCAACAAACATCTGGGAATTCTCAATAATCACAGCTGTGTTAATTCCGTTCCACATTGTGACCTAACTATTCTGATGCCACGGTTCACAATTATATCACTGTGTACGTTAGTTGATCTCACTCCTTATAAAGTACTCATGGAAATAAAGCTTTTCATTGTGTGATTCAGAGCAAATCAGAGAGCTCTGAGCATCATCATTATCTGGGTTTAACTCTGTTTTTTGATACACAGATTACTTGGTAAACCTCTGACAAACTTACGTTATGACGCATTTCTCATTCATCACGTTAGCTTTGAATCCAAGGACTGCAAACACCACAAGTGTTGCCAGAACAGAGGTGAAGAAATTGATGAAAGCAACAAGGGCTGCATCAAAATGACAGTTGTTATCTTTTTTGTTGTAACTTGAGAACGCGATGACTCCCCCAAACCCAAGTCCGAGAGCAAAGAACACTTGTGTAGCAGCTTCCCTCCATACCTGGGATTCCATCATCTTCTCCAGCTGTAAAACAACAAACAGAATGAGAGCTTCATGCAAAAACAAGCCAGTTTCATTCTCTTGGCACTAGGGCAGAACCTGGATCAGGACACAGGCACAGCCTGCTTTGGATCAAAGTCTCAGGTGTGACTGGCAGTTGGAGCTGAGTTAACTAATCTCAGGAAGACAGTAGCTTCAACTTTACAACCAGAGAAAGAAGGAAGCAAACAATGATCATGAGCCTAAACCCACCTACTGTGGCACATGGATAATGCTTATACACTGTCCGGCACCACACGTAGAAGCTGCTGTCAAATAATGACAGGGTTCATCAAACATTAAACAAACAATCAGGAATGTATCAATTACATCGAACATATACAACAAGACTAAAAATAATTCAAATAAACTTCTAAAATGTCATAGAGATTGCTCAATCCACCTGGCTCCTACACCAGGGTCAAATCCAACAGCCAATCCCAAAGCTAGACACCATCCAGCAGCTCTCATTCTTTAGTTTACTACCCTGGTTCAAATCCCTTCATTCTTGCTGCTACAAAAATCAATACAATTTCTTTTTTGAAGAATCAACTTTACCAAAAGCAGAACTTTTAAGAAATTCATTCATAGGATGTGGGTCTCACTATCTGGGACAGCATTTATTGTCCAACTTAACTGCCCTTCAGGTGGTGGTGGTGAGCTGTTTCTTGAATACAGCTCAGTGGCTTGATAATAAATGTTAGAGGGCTGTTCTAAATCAACCACATTGCTGTGGGTCTGGGATCACATGTAGGCCAGGCAAGGGTGGCAGATTTCCTTCCTTAAAGGACATCAGCAAACCAGATGGTCATTAGAACAATCTGACAATTTCTACGTCTCCATTACTAATACAGGCTTTTAACGCCAGATTTATTTAATTGAATTTAAACTCCTGCAGTTACAATGACAAAATTTGAACTCATTTCTCGAGCATGAATTCACTCTGCATTAATAATCCAGTCACATGATCTCTTTGCAGCTGTACCTTAGTAATGAACAATTCCAGGAGTGGAAAATCTAGATCTTAAAATTAAGTTTAAAACATAATAAACTAAAAGATTTTCATCTCTTGTCAAAGCCACTGGAATTATCCTGTCCGGCAGTCGCTATCACACACCCTAGTCTGCTCCACTGCATCCTGCTCTAGCCAGCATTACCCATTTGCTTTCTGAGACTGACAGACCTTAGGAGTGAACATGTGAAGAATTCCATCAATCGAGCCTCTGAGGAGCAGACTTCGAACCAGGAAACAAATCAGAACGACGTATGGAAACAGAGAACTGAAGTACATCACCTGAAAAGAATTCAAACAAAGTACATGGAATCATATCTAATGAGTGGCAAGAGCTATTATCTTGATAACTGACAATGAATCACTACTATTATGTGCAATTAAATGTTGACTTCACCAACTTTCGGAATTTTACTGCTGTACAGAGAATAAAGTTCCTTCCATACTATTACATCAAACAACCCAGAACAGACACAGCAGAAAGTTTAACACAGTAAAGCTCTCTTTACACTGTCTCCCTGAAACTGAAAGGCTTGTCTTACCTTACCAGATGACTGGATACCTTTGATTGTACACAATCCTACGAGGAACCAAGCCGACAGGAGACACAGAGTCATCTTCCAGTTCAGACCTCCTCCTTCATTGATGTTGTTGGCAATGTTCAGAGTGTCTCTGTACCAGAAGTAGGTTGTAGCTGAACTCTTTTCACATTCTGGTTCCACAACTAGAGTGAGACACATTCACAGTGAGTGCCAACACCAACTTCATTATAAATGTTAATGTGGCCCACTTCATCCAACAACGTCCAGACATTGGATCTCAGGACTGTGCTGGAGGAAGTGTATCTGGGAACATGCAACACCAGGGTCTATTTGACATAGGGGAATCCAATCTGAGGGAAGAGACACTGAGTGTGGAATGCGATGGAGTGGGGTGTGATGGAAAGAGACTCCATGGGGCATAGGGTGGTTTGGCCACAGGAGACCCTGTTGGAGGGGGACTCAGCCCAGTTTCAGTTTGTCTGGTTAGTGTTGCATAACAAATCCAAAATATCAGGGAACATTCATTGTCTGAGGAAGTCTGAGCTGTTTATCCATTAACTGTATGTTTTTCAGTTCTCATAAGATGCTTGATTGGCACAAACGTCTCCTGTTCTTATTCCGATACAGATATCATGGGAAATAATCACAAAAGCAAAACTACAATTTTTACACTTTTTTACCTCAAGCAATCTGTTCCATTTGCTTGAACTAAACAAATCAAGCAGAGCAAAGACCTGGCCTTGAATCACAACATTTTGACAGGAGGGAGTACTGAGAAAACACGAACAATGAGCCTCTGAATCGAATATCTTACTTACTGGTAACGGTACCATTGGTTATGAGAGGACACTCACTCCACGGGAGGGGAGACTGGAATGATTTAAAAAAATAAAAAATACTCCAGCCAATGATAACGTTGTAATAAAGTCCAACAAAGAAACATACCTAGGGAGAGAGAACAGAAAGTTCAGTCTGACTAATGGTCACAGCTCCAAGAATACAGGAGCGGAGGAATGTGAGGGAGACAGGATAATTACGAAAAGGAGAAGGGGGAATGAGGAAATCAGAAGGGAAAGCACGACAGATTGAAAGGGGACATTGGGTTGGAGATTGGTAAGCGAGAAGGATTTAGAGGAAAGAGGAGGAGAAGAGAGGATTGGAGGAGGCAGAGGGAGGAACAGTAAGTTGGAAGTAAGGAATGACCATTACAAGCATTTCTGATAACATTCCTGCATCAGAACAGGAACAATTAGCGAATTGCTACAGTGCAGAAGTATTTTAGTTTGACAAACAGCCCAGTTGTGAGATAACAAGGTGTAGAGCTGGATGAACACAGCAGGCCAAGCAGCATCAGAGGAGCAGGAAAACTGACATTTCGGGCCTAGACCTGGAATACTGAAAACTAGAACACTGCAGTGGGAACAGTTTAACTAGTCTCGGGATCAGTGAACTATAATGGGCGAAATGAACTAAGAAGGACCTGGTCTAGTGCAGCAGGACACAACTCACCATTCTTAAAAATGAAATAATACAATCGCTTCATTAAATTGAAATATTTCCCCAGGAGTTATTAGAGAGATTGAGTGGTTGACAGAGAGAAATCAAGATCTTGTAAATTAAGATTTCTGCTTTAATTAAACAAATAGGTGCTGGATATAGTACTGACTGTATAAAACATTTTATAAAATAGATGTTTCTCATTTAAAATTCAGATGGTTTATAATCAGAAAAACTGTAAGATGGTAACAAATTTGAAATGATCACAGTATTAATTTTAAAGTGTTTTAAAATTTTTTGCCCAGAGGAATTCTTTCTAACAAACTGGAGCTGAATCAGAGTCTGGAAAATCTTTACTGATAAATTTAAATGGTGACGTGAAATAAAGGAACATTACAGAATATTACAAGCAGTGAGTGGGAGAGTGGGGTTAGATTGGGACAGGTAATGAGATACAGGGAGACAGTTGGATTGGAATCAGACTCTGACCCAAGTATGAGTAAGGACCTTGGAATTACGGTTCAAATCACAGAATGATACAGCACACAGGGCAAATCAGTCCATCAAGCCAATGTTGGTACTCTCAAAACTACAATTACTCCCACTTCCCTGTAAATCTTTCTCTTTCAAGCATTTATCCAATTCTTTTTTGAAAGATAGCCCTAATTCTGCTTCTGTTGCCCCTTCAAGCAGCACATTCCAGATCAGAAAATGTTGTATCAAAAAAAACTCTCTCTTCATCTTTCCTTTGCTTAATTTATGAATTGGAAGTGGGAAGAGATTATAAAACTAGGCATTGGACATTGGTGAGACAACATCTGGAGTACTGTGTACAATGTGTACTATGTACTGGGCCCATTGTTTGAAAAAATTGTATAATTGCTTAGAAGCAGTTCAAAAAACATTCACAACTTAATCCTGGGATGAAGGGCTCATCTTACAAAGAAATATTGAAACATACGAGATCTTGAAGGGATTTAACAAAGTGGCTACCAGGAAAATGTTTCCTCTTGCCAAGGAGACCACGATTAGTACAAACAGTTTAAGAATAAGGAGGGCTCTCTTCTAAAATGAAAAAAAGACAACACCTTTCTCTCAGAGGCTGGTTAGTCTGTGGAATTATTTTCTCCAGAGAACAGTTGAGGCTGGGTCATTGAATTTATTCAGGGTTGAGTTAGGTAAACTTTTGATTGCCATGAAGCCAATGTTATGGTGGGCAGATAGGCAAGTGGAGCTGAGACGACAGCCAGATCAGCCATGACTGTATTGAATCATGCAGCAGGCTCACGGATCTGAATCACCTACTTCTGCTTCGATGTCCTATGATCCTGTACTCAAGCAAATGAAATGTGCAGTCACCGGTTCTCCTACCCATTCAAACAGTTTCTCTCTATCTACTCTGTCAAAACCCTTCATAACTTTTAACATCTCCTTTAAATGTCCTCTTTGTCTGCTTGGCTTTAAAAAGAACAATCCTAGTTTCTCCAGTCTCTACATAGCTTGTTGTGATGCATCCCAGGCAAGGGAGGAGACTGTTAGAGTCCTGGCAGAGATATCGAATACTTTGCTCGTTGCAGATGAAGTGTCAGATGACTGGCAGACAGAAAATGTAGTCCCTTTGTTCAAGATGGGCAGCAGGATAGGTCAGGTAGTTTTAGACCAGTTAGTCTATACATCACTGGTAGGAAAATTATTGGAAAAAAACATGAGCGACACGATTAATCAATAATAGAACAAGGCAGGAATGAATCAGCGATAGTCCGCACAGATTTGCAAAAGGGAGATCCTGTTTAATTTAATGGAGTTTTTTGAAAAGGTGATCAAATATGAGGTAAGTGTAGTTGACACGGTTTACATAGACTTCAGTAAGGTCTTTGACAGATGGAAAGCTAGTCCAAAAGATAGGAGTCCATGGGATCCAAGGCAAATTGGCAAACTGGATCCAAAACTGGCTTGCAACCAGTAGGCAAAGATGATGGTGCAGCATTGTCTTTGTGATTGGAAGCCTGTGACCAGCAGTGTACCACAGAGATCAGTGCTGGGACCCTTTCTGTTTATTGTGTACATTAATGACTTGAATATGAATATAGAAGGTATAATTGGTAAGTTTGCAGATGATGAAAACTGGGGGTGTAGTTGATAGTGAGGAGGACGGTCTCAGGCTACAGTCTGATATTGATCAGCTGGTAAACTGGGCAGAGCTATGGTAGATGGAATTTAATCCTGATAAATGTGAGGTGATGCATTTTGGGAAGGGTGGTGGGATTGCTGGTGGTGAGGGGTGGGGAGGGGGGAATGAGGGGCGCAAATCTGATTGCACTATATAAAATTATGAAAGGCATAGACAGAGTAGGTCATGAGAATCTCTTCCTCATGGCAAATGCATCTAAGACCAGAGGGGAATATTTTAAGGACTAAGTGCTTTAGAGGAGATTTGAGAAAAAACAACTTTCACCCAGAGGGTGGTAGAAATACAGAACATGCTGCCCCACAGGGTGGGGGAAGCAGGGGCATTTGCAACATTTATGAAGTATCTGATGAGCACTTAAAACACCAGGGCACAGTAGGCTCTGGACCAAGTGCAGATAAATGGAATTAGTATAGTTTGGCATTTATTGGTCATTATAGACATAGAGGGCCAAGGGCCTATTTCTATCATGTACGAGTGTAAGTATCACTGCATCACTGGAATCATTTTAGTAAAACCAAGCCCTAATCTCCAAAGGTCTTGACATTCTTTCTAAAGGACATATAGTCTACAACTAGTCACTAGGCTGCAGATGAGGCTTAAGATGTAATTTATAAATGTTAAACATGATTTCCTTCTCTTTGTACTCAATGCTTTTATTCATAAACATCAAATCAGATCTGCAGCTTTAACGTTCTCAAACACAAAGTTCAGCGATGACACTCACAATGCAACTTGCAAATCCAATGCCACCCAGTCTGGGACAGATATAGTTCCAGACACCAATACTCCCACGCCTTATTCTCTGGCCCACGGCTAGTTCCAGAAAAAACAGGGGAATTCCAATGATGAGGAGCAGGATGAGGTAGGGAACAAGATAAGCACCTGCAAATAAGAGAGAGATTTAGCACAAATGAAAATACATTTGACAGGTTCACATTGTGCTGTAATATTCAGACAAAGTGTTCAGATTGATGTGTGAAATCTCTGCTCCTTGTAGTTTGCTCTGTGCTTGAGGGCAAGTGCAGTCAAGGTTAAACTGGTGCTGCCTCAAGAATCTCAAACAGATGGTTTCATCTGCGTTCCACATTACAGAAACTGACACTATTTTCCACATCCCCTTCTCACTTGTGTCGTTTTGCAGCTTCTCTTCACCAATATCAATTTTCTGCCCATAATTGACAGTCTGTTTCATCCTGCCCCCCAGAACCTTGACCAACACACTGTTCCTGATTCCAAATTCTGGAACAATTCCAATCTCCTCATTGTTTATCCAATGCTACATCTAAACCCCCATCCCTAACGTTAATCCCGATCTTAACTCCAATACTCAAAACCGATGCCTGACAAAGCCCTGAGCACTCTGCTCAACACTCCAACCCCAACTCCTGCCCTTAGCCTGCTACAGTCCCTCTCCTGGAACCCACTGCCAATTCTTTAAATTGTTTGTCCCTCTTGTTCTCTTCAATCTTGACTCATGTCTCTTGATTTTAATTGTTGTTGCAGACAGTAATGAACCAGCAAGGCATGGAGTTTAAATCCACACAGCTCATGCTCTTGGCTGTCCACAACTCCTCAACAAATCTTGTTTTAAAGCAAGAAATCAAAATCTCTAGGTTGAATGTACAACAACTATGAATGGTTCAGTTTTATCAAATATAAAGATACTGGAATTCATTCAACTTGCATTGATAAGACACCTTTAAAATTATTAACTTCCCCAAGGCAATTCACAGGAAAAAGATCAAAGTATGAATCACACCACATAAGAACATTAGTTCAGAGCAAACCCTTGCTCAAAGAGGCTAGTTTTAAGGAGTTTCTTACAGATTAAGAGAGAAAGGCACGAGGGTTTAGGGAGGAAATTTTAAAGATATGGTGATAGGCAACTGAAAGTATAACCACTTTTGATGGAATTCTTCAAACTGTGCAGGTTCAAGAGGCCAGAACTGCAGAGGTTGGGATGTTAAGGAGATTACAGGGATACAGAATGGGGAGGCCACAAAGGGATTTGAAAACAAGATAAGAATTTTGAAATCTGAGGCATTGCTTGACCAGGAGCTTATGTGGTCAGCAGTTAAGGTGCAAGTTAAGACACAAGCAAAACAGCTGAAGACGAGATCAAGTTTAGTTAGGAGGGAATGCCTACTCTCAGCCTTTGGGAGTCAAAGCTCAGATTAACCAAAAAAAGTTTCAGATGATGATCTGAGACAGATGCAGAGTTGAATAATACAATGGAAATGAAAATAGACAGCATTTAAGATAATAGATTAGCCGTGGTAAAAGCAGGGTTACTGGGATCGGGTAGTGGGCTGGGTCTAGGTGGGTTGTTCTTCAGAGGGACAGCAAGAACTGAAGATGCTGGAGTCAGATTTAACAAAGTGTGGAGCTGAAGGAACACAGCAGGCCAGGCAATATCAGAAGAACAGGAAAGCTGACGTTTTGGGTCAGGACCCTTCTTCAGAAATATACTTCTGAAGAAGGGTCCCAACACAAAACATCAGCTTTCCTGCTTCTCTGATGCTGCCTGGCCTGCTGTGTTCCTCCAGCTCCACACTTTGTCATCGCTTGTTCTTCAGAGGGTTAGTGCAGACTTGATGGACTGAATGGCCTCTTTCTGCACTGTAGGGATTCCATGATTCTATAAATTTCTTCAGCCAGATGGTGGTGAATCTGTGGAACTCATTGCAGCAGAAGGCTGTGTAGGTCAAGTCATTAAGTGTATTTAAGACAGAGATAAGTTCTTCATAAAAACTGAAAGAACTGTGGATGCTGTAAATCAGGAACAAAAACAGAAAGTGCTGAAAAAGCTCAGCAGATATGGCAGCATCTGTGAAGAGAAATCAGAGTTAACGTTCCTCAGAACGGAGGAAGGGTCACCAGACCTGAAACGTTAACTCTTTTTTTCTTCAGGTGTAGCAATTCCTGTGTTTGCAGGGAAGGGTGCCAGGGGTGGTGGGGCTAGTGGGGAGTGTGGAGCAGCCTCCTCTACATTGGTGAGACCAAGCGGAGCTCGGAGACCGTTTTGTAGAGCACCTGCGCTCTGTTCACAATAAACGATAACACCTTCCAGTCGTAAACCATTTTAACTCCCCCTCCCACTCCCTGGGGAGACACGTCCATCCTGGGCCTCCTCCACTGTCACAATGACACCACCCGGAAACTAGAGGAGCAGCATTTCAAATTCCACCTTGGGAGCTTACAGCCCGATGATCTTAATGTGGACTTTACCACTTTCAAAATGTCCCCACCCTGGCCTCATCCCATGTCCAACCCTCTCCCTCATCCCTGCTTCCTTGACCTGACACAACCTGTCCATCTTCTCTCCCACCTATCGGCCACTCCCATCTCACTGACCAATCCCCATC